TCTGTCTCTCTCTCTCTCTCTCTCTCTCTCTCTTTTATGTGACTAAAAAACAAACAAACCTAAAAAAAAAAAAGAATTTAAAAAGTATACCACGGTGCAGCAGTTATGCGCTTATTTCGCCGTCGCACGGAGAAGACCTGAGTTCAATTCTTGTTTGGGGAGAAATTCTATCGTATATCTCGGACCATCTGTAAGGACAGTGCACCCCTCTCAACCCGGGTTGACCCTGACAGGCAGGTCGAAGCTCTCCTACTAAATGTATAATAAATTAGTGTCCATGGGGGAGATGAGGGGAGGGGCAATAACTTTTACATCTACATTTCATTACCGAAGAATAATTACAACAAGTCTAAATCATCCAAATGCAGTCGATGACTACTACTTTTAAATGATGATGATTATTATGATGACAATGGTGATGATGGTGATAATAATAATAGTAATAACGTTGATGATGATAATAATAATTGTTGCTTTTGCATACACATATTATCCTTTCTCAACAGCATGCTCTATGCACTCTACAATCTTTATGATTACCCGAGAAGACCCAAGAAGACACAGAAACATTCTCGGCTCTTCGGGAAGCATAATATTGTGCAAGCTACAGATTGTGCGCTCTAAAGCACTCTTTCTCTTCGTCCGTCCGTCCGTCCGCTTGTCTGTCTGTTCGTCGGTCCGTCCGTCCGTCCGTCGGTCGGTCAATGGTCGGCCGCTGACGCTTTCGTGACGTCAGTGAGTAGCCTTTTCCTGCCTAGCTGATGGGCGCTGCTGGTAACTCCTACTTCCTGTCTTCCTTCTCCAGGCTTCCGGGGTTTGGTCTTGCCCTTTCTGCTCTTGTTCTCGTTTTTGCTTTTATTGTTGTTTTGTCTTTCGTTCTCCTTATTTTTTTTTTTCGCCATCCGTGTCAAAATGACGCCATCTGGCCGGTGTCTGTGGTGTAGTGGTTAAGCGCTTCTTTGTTGCACGAAGGAGACCGGAGTTCGGTTCCCGAGTGGGGAGAAAGTTTTGTCGAGTATATTCGGTCTTTCTGTTGGGATGTTATTCGCCTTCTCAGCCTGATAGGACCGAGTCAAATGGGCTGATGATCTTAAAAACTCTCCCAAAGCAGCTCAAGTTCAAGACGCCCCTCGTACCAGGATCACCGGCTTCGTAGTATCTCAGCATGATTCTTCGTCTCTGAAAGAAATATACAAATTGTACCTTTTCTAATAACCATTTTATGGGTTTATTTAGAATTGTGGAAGATGATTGGCAGATGCTGTAGTGTGGTTTGCTCATTCTTTTCTATCGCCCTTATCTTTCCTTCTTTTTTGTGTTTATTATGCTCTTGTAACACCTCTTATCCTCGGCACGTAATACTTATATGACCTTGTTGTGTTGCATGTGCCGTAAAACTCTTACTAAAAGCTCAGAATTATGGTGACCGGCGTCATGGTGCAACTGTCAGGCATGTAAAATAGTAGAACCACAGTGTAAAAGATTGTCTGGCTGTGTCATCATGGCTGTGTGTCCAGTGTGTTGCCGGTCTGTGTAGCTCACGCGGGCTCTTGACTCTAGTGTGTGTGTTCCTGTCTCTTCCGGACCGTCGCTGTGACACACGTGGTGAGAGCTGCCGAGTCCTCCTACCACGCCCTTGATGTGTGTGTGTGGGGGGGGGGGGGGGGGGAGGGGGCACGTTCTGTGTGCAGGGCTGTCCAGTTTTATGCGAGTTTCGGCATATAGTTACTCCAAGGTTTCGGCTGTGATGTGATAGTTATATACAAGCCTGTTGTTCGCCTTGACAGCGGACGACGTGAGTTCGATTCCTTCTTGTGAAAGGTTATTGTAGCAGATAAATATTTGGTGGGTTCTTCGGCTTGAAAGCGGAAGACGAGAGTTTGATGCCCTTTAGGGGAAATTTTTATAGCAGGTATTATAGTGCGGTCAAAAATTCATGGCGCAACTTATGGTCAAATAACTCCTCCTCAACTATCAAACATGAACTCTCCAGTTTTTGCGCTGTGACTTGTATCAATTTGTCTTAATAGATCAATCTTTTTGTAAACACCCGTTACCTCTTTTCAAGAAAGTACCTTAATACATACCTACTAATAATAAATCCCAGTGAGTGGTTTCTACAGATTTTAAAAGGTTTACAACTAGGACAATATAGCTTTTAAAAGCAAGTCCGTCATTTTCTTCTTATCGCGACATTGTACTTATTGAACGCATGTTTTGAGAACTTTTAGTGCGAAACAGTGTTCACTCTAAAACTAATTAACTTGTTACTAGTTTTGCCACTAAAAAATGTCACTGATGATCTCTGATGAAGGCCATGTGTGTACGCAAAATATGTGTGAGAAGCGGGAAGTGCTGTGAACAATTCCATTTTCCGCAAAAAGGATATTTGTCGTATTTTATATACATTTGTGAAGAAAAGTTTTTTTAATTCTAGCCTCAATTGTTGGGGAAAAATTTGATTCAGTTAACACAAATTGATACAAACTCCTTTGCAAATATGAGTGACATTGATTCACTCGTTAGAAAGATATATGAGGTTAAGTTGCGCCACGAATTTTTTACCGCACTATAGTTAAGCTCGTGAGCTGTTCGCCTTGAAAGTGGAAGATGAGGGTACGGTTTAATTGTTGGGAGGTTTTTGTAGCAGGTATTTGTTGGGTCCTTCAATTTGAAAGCGGAAGATGTGAGTTCGATTTCGTCTTGGGGAGATTTTCATAGCAGGTATTAGTAGGGTCCTTCACAGTGAAAGAACGCCGAAAAATGTAGGTTCATTTCCTTCATAGGGGAGTTTATTATACAGGTATCTTGGGGGCTCCTGAGCTGTTTGCCTTGAATGTGGAAAACCTGAGTTTCGTTATCCTTTTGTGAGTTTCAGTTTAAAGAGTGTCTTCATCATATTGAGTGGATGCTGTTTCTCATTTATTTAGTATGGGTAGGCTTGACCAGCTGGGTTTAGACACGCTCGTTTCCATAGTGACCTAAGTCTTGTCGATGGGGCTGTAAAACAGTGTGTGCTTTTTTATTTATTTATTTTTTAAAATAATTGTTTTATATTTTATTATTATTATTTTTTTTATTTTTTTTTTGGGGGGGGAAGGGTTGCTCCGGTAGATCAAATGTCGGTCATCCTCATCTCATCTCCTTCTTTTATTGGATGTTACTCTCCAGTACCACGTATGATATGATCTATTTATGGTGCAAGTACCGTAAAAACTTTTACTAAAATGAAAAAGACAACGACACACCACTGCACGCATGGTCCTGGCAGGATAAGTCGAAGCAGCCCGCCTTCTAAATGATCTAAATTGTGTCACTCGGGCCGTAAAACAAATTCACAGCCAGTCAATGTCATGTGCTCTTTCTTGTTTTTGACTTTTACGACGCATATGGAAGGGCCATGGGTTTGTCTAAGGTCTTGGGTCGATTTCTAAAATTACAATGATTTACCTGACGTTTCAATCTGACCTGAAACTTTATTATTTTGTGGAAAGGATGAAGGCGTCAAGTATAGTATAATGTGGCGTCGGTGGCCTAGTGGTTAGGCTACCGGACTCGTAATCGTGAGGTTGTGGGTTTGGGGGTTCGAGCCGCGGGCCCGACGTTGTGTACTTGGGAAAGGCAATTTACACACATGTTCCCGACTTCACCCAGGTGGGAATATGTACCCAGCTATAGACAGTGAAAGAACTTGTCAGTTTGTTAACCAGCTGCTTGCACTGCATGTTTCCCGATAAGCTGAGAATGTTTCTGAGTGTTCTATGGTCTGCTGGGGTAATGATATAGTGTAAATCGCATAGAGCTTGCTTTTGAGTGGGGACATGCGCTATACAAATGCTATTTATTATTATTATTATTATATCCTTTTTTTGCGGTTTTTGTTTCAGTGTTATCTCTGACAAGCAAAGTCAGAGCCGCCGCCTCTTAAACGATTATAATTATTTCGACGGGAGCGAAGCGGATTGTCAATCAAACAGTGAACCATTTCCTTTTGCTTTGCGGTTGAATGGACTGCGCCCAAACTAGGTTCTACTTCTTTACTCTCCCATTGCTAGTTCTGCCTTTTGCTCTTGCTTGTTCCACGCGGTTTATTCCTGTTATTGTTTTGGTGTTGGTTTATTTACTCAAGCAAACGAGCCTTTTTTATTTAAAAAAAAAAAAACGGTGTCTGTGGTGTAGCGGGTAGACTCATGGCTGTCGCTTGCAGGGGATCCGAGTTCGATTCCTGAGTGGGGGGGAGTTTACCTCGAGTATCTTATTTCTCTCTTGTAAGATGTTTTATCCCTCTCAGCCCAGTTTGGTTCTCACAGGCAGGGTTTAATCCTGTCTCCAAAACGATCTAAATTGGTCGATGGGGACGTAAAAATACCTACTTTAAACAAATAAAAGCACTCCCGTTAACAACAGCAACAACAACAAACAACCACAACAACAACAAACACAACAACAGCGACAACAGCAGCAACAACAATAAAACCCAAACCGTTTTCTTTCTTTTCTCAGACGCGCTACTCGCCGACCTCCAGAACACCACCGCCAACATCTCCTCCTACCAGCACGCCCAGGCGAGACCGTACCAACAGCCGCTGCCACCACAGCAGCAACAGCTCTACCAACAGCAGCAACAGCAACAACAGTATTTCCAGGAGCGCGGCAGCAACGGCGGGGGCAACAACAACAATTACCTTATAGAACAGCAGCAGCAGCAGCAGCAGCAGGACCAGTACCCGTACAGCAGCCAGAGCTATTCCTCACACCCGCCCAACGGCCGCAGTATAGACCCCTACCAGCATTATCAGCAGCAGAATCAGCCACAGCAGAATCAGTATTACGAGCTGGACTCGCGCTCCCAGAGCCAGCACAGCCTGGACTACAGCCTGATCGGGGGCGGGGGAAGCAGCGTCGAGGGCAGCAGGCACGATGACCTCTCCTCGGCCCTGAGGTCGCCGGAGGGTCGAGGACCTCCTTCTTTCCCGCCGCCGGGTCAAGGTCAAGGTTACCCAGGCGCGGGTCAAGGCCAGGAGGTGAACCCCCTTGTGGTCACGGTGAAGCGGCGCAGCTACAACTCGAGCGACGAGCAGCACTCCGGGAGCTCCACGCCGCCCCCGTTACCCCCGCCCCCGCCCTCGGACGTGCTGGACAGTCTAGCGTACGGGCGTGAACAGGACGTGAGTGTGTGTGTGTGTGTGTGTGTATGTGGGGGGGGGGGATGTTTGTGTGTGTGTGTGTTTGTGTGGGTGTGTGTTCGCGTGTGTGGTTTGAGGGGGGTGGTTGTTCTTGTGTGTACGGACGGGAATAGGACGTGTGTGTGTGTGTGTGTGTGTGTGTGTGTGTGTGTGTGTGTGTGTGTGTGTGTTTGTGTGTTCGTGTGTGTGTGTGTTCGTGTGTGAGTGTGCATGCGTGTGTGTGTAGTGTATGCGTGTGTATGTGTTCGTGCGTGTGTGTGTGCGTGTGTGTGTTTGCTGATCTTTCCCCCTTCTCTCTCTCTCTCTCTCTCTCTCTCTCTCTCTCTCTCTCTCTCTCTCTCTCTCTCTTTCTTTCTCTCTCTCTCTCTCCTCTTATTCTCTGACTCTTTCTGATATATCTCATTTATGCTTTTTATGTCTCGTTTTCTGGCAACTTTCAGTATTGGAACTGACGGTTCATGTGGCTGGAACGTTTATGATGCGAGTTATCAACGATAGATACCACATCTCTTTTCATGCAAAGCTACTCAGGAATGTTTCAAATAAAAAGACAAACTGGGCTACTCCAACAGCCATCTTCCTATTAAAGAACAGCAAGGAAAAATTAAAACAGCATCCGAAAAACCCGGAAGACCCAACCAACCCCCCCCCCACCCCCCCGAAAAAAACCGACCCCCAAACCAAACAACCCTATCCTATATCCACCCCGCGCTCACACTAAGAAGATAGCAGCAACAACGACAACGTAAAAACAGGCAAAACGATGGTAAATAAGCCTGTTGTAAAGTCATGTTTTTAGTTTTCGAAATCATCATTTAGATAATTATTTTGAGGCGGGTTGCTTCTATCCACCCTGTCAGGGCCAACGTAGGCTGAGTTGGAAGCAGTATCCCTGCAAATAGACGGAGGGGTAAGCAAAAGTTTAGTCCCTTGCGCCGTTCTCCCTGTTCCTGCTCTGTTCGACTGTTCTGCGCTGCCAATAAACAGAACTACTGTGGAAGCTACGTGGAGAATATAATTTATATTCGTGCATTTTTTAGGGGGAAAAGAGGGAAGGGGTGGGAGAAAAAAAGAAAAAGGGGGTGTCGTGGATCTTTACTTTTATCTAAGTGGACAACATAGTGTTCCTTTAATGGAGGTATCGCCTTGTGTGAGGATGTTGTCATTTACTGTTTCCGCCACTCCACTCCCGGGTCTCGGTTTGACCTAGTTACGCCTGATATCCCCCAGAGACCTGTCACTCGCCATCTTTTCGAACGGGAAGGTTCTGCTTGCCGAGGAGTTTATGAAGTGATAAATTTGGATGGCCTGGATTTACGGTCTCCTCTATCAAACGTTTGGCACTGAATAAATAATGCAGCTTTGTATGTACTGTGGGGAAATGGGACATAAAATCAGAGGATAGTGATGGCCATAGAAGTCAGTTGTCCTTCATTTGGGGAGGGAGAGAACTGCTTGTCACTCGGAAATAGGTCATGAAATGAGGGAATATGATGTCGATATGAATTACAATATTAGAGAAAAGGAGGGTAGAGTTGCGAGAGATTACACACGGCTATTATTAGTTAGACTGCTGTTGGACATTGTGTCTTTGAATATTGAGCAAAATAAAGAACGTTTTAAGAAACAAATAATAATAATAATAATAATAATAATAATAATAATAATAATAATAATAATATTAGATAGCATTTGTATAGCGCAAATCCCCTCTCAACAGCAAGCTCTATGCGCTTTACAATCTATACTATTACCCCAGCTGACATGAGAGCATTCTGAAACAACCCTGTGAAGCTTAAAATAGTACAAGCAGCCATGTATAGGCGCTAGAACTCTAAAATGCTGACAAGATCCTTCGCTGTCTATGGCCGGCTACCATTCCCACCTGGGCGAAGTGCGGAAAATTTCGTGTAAAGTGCCTTTCCCAAGGACACAATATCGGGCCCGCGGCTCAAACCCCCCGTTCCCGTAGCCTCACGATTACAAGTCGAGTACCCTAACCAATAGGCCAACGACGCCACCAAAGTAAAAATGTAGCATGTACAATGTCCCTCTGAAATTGTTACATTTGCAATGTCCTTTGCCTTAATGTCCCTTTGCTAAATGTTCCTGTAAAATTGTACCTAATTGTACAGTTTCCCTATAAAACTGTGACAGATGCGATGTTCCTCTAATAAATGTCCCTGTAAAATTGTGCCCTGTAAGATGTCCACATGAAATTGTGCCGTGTACAATGTCCACATAAAATTGTTACATTGTACAATGACTGTGTTAAGTGCGTGACCTGTTCTCGAACCCATTCCTCCCGTTGTCCACCTCCCCAGCAACCCATCTACGAGCCGCAGACATTCCACGTGAGAGAAGCCACTCCCTCAGAGGCGCACCCAGGCGTCACTCGCAGACAGCCGCAGCAGCAGCACCAGGTGGTGGAGGAGGAGCGGGCTCAGCTCCGGCCGCACAGGATGTCGGCGCTCAGCAACAACCTATCCGAGCTGGACCAGCTCCTGCAGGATTTGAACTCGGCGCAGTTCATGGCCGAGGTGGACCGCAAGAGCAGCGGGCCAGGTAGGTGTTTGTTTGAGGTGTGTGCGTGTGTGTGTGTGTGTGTGTGTGTGTGTGTGTGTGTGTGTGTTTATGTGTGGGTGTTTGTTTGTGGATGTGAGTGTGGGTGTTTGTTTGTGTTTGTGGTTCCTTGTTTGTGGGTGGTTGTTACGATAATGAATTGTGATAGTAATAGTGATAACAGAAACTACCACACAACGGCATCATCACCAACAGTGGCATTGCCAGACGAAGAAGAAGAAGAAGAAGAAGAAGAAGAAGAAGAAGAAGAAGAAGAAGAAGA